TAATATGTTCCTTTCAGATAGTTTTGTTTGTAAAGATGTGGTGCGTATTAGGCAAATATTTATTGAGCACTTACTTTGTCCCAGATACCTTACCAGGCATTGAGTCAGGCTCTGACCTCATAAAATAGACAACCCCTGCCCTCATTAATATTTTATCATAATCCATTCTTATATTTTGCATACTCCTCATATATCTTCTTTTAATAACTGCAAATATCATTGTGTCGTATGAATCACTTTGAGTAATAATTTTCCTAGAATTGGACATTTCCAATTTTTCAATGTTATTTTTTCTATATTTAGAATGTTTCCTTAAGATACATTTCTTGGAATGGAGAAAGCTGGTTAAGGGCATGAACACATTTAAGGTTCTTGACACAAACTTCCAAATTGCTTTTTTAAAGGTACTAACTTTCACTGCCACTGGAAATGGACAAAGGGAAATTTTTTTACCAATTTGCCCGCAGTGACTATAATCACTAAAAATTGTTTTTGTTGTTTTGACTAGTTTTAATTTTCCTTTTTTGATACCTAGCAAGGTTTGAGGTTTGAGGTTCTTTTAATAAGGTTAAACAAATGTAGTTCTTTGAAAATTTTTCTGATCATGCTTTTGCTCTATTTAAGATGCTTATGTTTTATTTTCATGCATATGAGCTCCTTATGGAATAAAGACATGAGCCTTTTTGGTATTTACCCTCCTTCAGAGTTATCTCAAAGGGGAAGAGCAAAATGATCACTGAGTTTGGGGCCCTGAAGTACCTGAAGTCAAACGGAGGTTTATGCACCTTTCCATTTCCAGGGCCCAACTTAGGGTTGGGCTGGAAAACAGCAGGCCCAATGGAGGAGCACACAGATGTCAAGCAGTGCATTGGATTCTGGGGGTCCAGAGACGCTGTGACTGACAATGGCAAACATGGCTTCTTAAAATAAGCCTGGGCCAAGAAATGACTTCCTAGTAAACCAATCCATTTTTATTGCTAGAAAGAAAAAATTTTATAGCCAGAGGGCAAAAGGATACAAGTAACTGGGTAGCATCGAAAACAGCCTGGAAAAAAGAAAGGGGTAAAATGAAGGGATAGTGAGTGGAAAGAAACAAACAAAAGCATTTGGAAATCAACAAAACAAATTAAGCGTTGATTCTATATCCATTATGTTGTGAGGTATGTTGCTGTGGTGGGTTATTAAAAAAGAGCAGGAGCCTCACCAAAGTTTATATAATTTGTCAATTCAGAAACTTCGTAGGCAACTCAAATGATATAGTCCTGTAAAATTCCTGGTTAAACACACATATACTTAGGTACACATATAACACTAAGACTTACTGGAAGGTTCAGGAGAAAGCATCTCCCAAACTAAAGAATTCTGGGGCCTGCCTTCTCTGCCCTTATAGTGACAGGTCCCTTTTAGTCACAAAATCTGAGGGAAAAGGGGAGAGAAGGTAATTATGGCACTATCTGTTGCCATTGGATTTAGAATCTTTCTTCTTACCCCTGCCTCTCTCAGGGTTGTGAGTGAGAAGCTGAGAGGACACCATACCAACAAGAAAAAAACAGGAGACTGAGAGGGGACAACCTTCTTGGGGTAGCTGGTGTCTGCTTTGTGGTACTATTTTGATGGGTCATATGGGAAAATTTTTATTACATACTTTATGGAATAATTTACATTAGGTCAAATTTATATGCCCTCAGGAGTGCCTATAAAACATGATCCCTAATTTCAAGAGTAGACCTGGCAAAAACAAGAAAGAGATAAAATAATTACAAAAAAGGGTGTCTTGTGAGGAAGAACTTCATGTTAGAAACAATTCATAATTTACAAGTTGCTTCCGATCAAGATGGTGATGTGATCTTACCTTGGAGATATGTGGGCTAGAAAGAATCACTTGAATGATACCTTTAGTCAGGTGAATAAAGGCAGCTGGGTACCTAATATTTTGGGGGCAGGCCACTACTCTCCCTAACCTTAAGGAGCCACTCATTCTCTTTATGGTGACTTTAACAATACGGTAAGTACTATTTATTGAACATCTATTATGTCAGGTACTTTGCCAAGAGCATTATTTGTATTATCACCTATTCATTCCTCCAGGCCCAGTTCACTGTTCTTTTAACGCACCCATGACTTATACCCCAAGTTGAATTAATAATGCCATTACTGATTAATTGATGATTAATAACGTTCTTCTCATCCTGTTCACTCCTTTAATGCAGCACTTCTTTTCATAGCCTACATTTCTAACTGTTCCACTACCTGAGCTTCATAAGACCAGCATCCGTGTTTTATTCCAACTGCCCAGCATCTGGCAGTTCCTAAGTACCATATTCTGTTGAGTGAATGTTGAGTGGGACTTCATGACTTCAAACTCATTGAAGAATCATGGAATTGTTGAGCAGGAGAGCCTTTGGGACCTTTGCTAGCTACAAGCTTCTTTTACATATGAGAAAAATTAAGTTAGAACAAGTAACTTGCCTGAGGTCACATAAACCTGGTGGAATGAGATTAGAGTCCAGTTCCCTTGCTCTTCAGCCGAGTATAGATGCTACCGAAACACAACTAAGTATCTTTATTTCCCAATCTCCTGGCCCCACCCAAATCCTATCATCAGTTGGCCTTTGGACCTTCAGGCTATTTCTGGGATGTATATTTTCTAAAGGAACCCACTTCTATATACAGCTTTTCTTTCATAGCTTCCCATTCCAAACAAAGCCCAAACTCCAAATTAGCTGGCTTGCACTGTAGCATCACTGTAGAAGTTGGGGGCGGGGGGGACTGTCTGTCTATATTTTTACTAACAAGCTCTTTCCACAAGCGCCCTTTGATCCATGCAAATCAAAATGCTTGTCAACACGCACACCACACCATGCTCTTTCTTCACCATCCCTTGAGACATGATGGTCATTCTGACTACAGTATCCTTCCTCCTTATCAAGCTGGTGAACTTTAATGATCTGTTCCCCCTCTGGACTGGGAGCTTCTGGCACAGAACAGAGAGAATTGGCTTTAGTCTCACACAGCATTTGAATGAGTGGATTTTGTGTCCCGCACCTAGCAGCATAGCCCTCAGTAAGGTTCACTACATGACTCTGTTTGGAAAATTACAGAAATGTAACTTACTCTTCAGGGTTGTAAGCAGCCCTCAACCAAAACTTTTCTGTTTGGAGGAAAAATAAGTAAATATGTTGGCTCATTCAGTCTTTTTCTCCTTCTTTTTCCTTTTCGTCTGCTTCATCTGTTATGGCTGCCATTCTCACTCCCTCTGTGAACTGTACATTCTCCCAGCACCCCTGCCCCTGGACACTTGTGGGAGAGGAATCTACAAATTCCTCTGGGGCTCCATCAGTGGAGCAAGTTCTCAGTAGCTGGAGGAGATCTGGGCTGCCAACAGGAAGTTTTTGTACTTCTGGCTACTTTGTGCCTGGGGCAAAAACTGCAGAATCCACCTGGACACCGTAAAAGAGAATGATAGAACAAAACTAACCTTCATTATCCCCATCTGAAGTTTTTTCTGTGTGGACATTCTGACCCAGTATCACTCAGGGCTTCTTTTACCAGAACTGTTGTCTAGCATGCACATCAAAATAGCCCCGCAGGAAAGTCAGGTTTGAGCCCCCCTAACTCCCTTCCTTCACTTTAAAAAATCTTGAGCAGGACATTTAAAATAATGTTTCGGATTTTTAAGTTTTTAAAGCATCTGAAGAACTGTTCCCTTTGGAAGCCTGAGGGCCAAAGAAAAGCAGAGATTGGTCCCCCGGTCTCTAAATCCCTTTTTCCTCCTTCTATGCCCTACACCTCATCTTGCCCCTTTGGCTCCAAGGGGGCAAGAGGCAGCTTTCCTCCGCGGGCGTGCCTGGCCTCGTCCACGACACCCATTAGTTTCCAGCCTTCCAGGGCAGAAGGGGACTCCCGACCACGCGTCCAGGGCCCTTCCCCAGCTTAGGGGCCTCGGGGCCCACGCCGGCCCCAGCGCAGACAGAAATGAATGTGCCCAACCCTAGGGATGACCTCGGCGCGCCCGCCCCGAAAGCACCCCGGCCCCAGCCTGCGGGGCGGGTAGCCCAATGGGCAGCCTCGCTCCGGAGGCGGGCTCAGGCCGGAAGCCACCCCGCGGCACAGCGGCCCCACGAGACGGCGCCCGCGCCCCCGCCCTCTCCGGCACGGGCTCTACGGCCAAGGGCGGCAGGGGCCAGCCCGCTGGGTCCCCGCCGCGCTCTTTGTCCTGGCCGCGCGCGG